TACATGTGTCTTCTCATTCAATGCTCACTACATTCTCATTTTCAGATCAGAAAATGGTTTAGAGAAGATAACTTCAGAGTTCACAATGTCAATCATATTAATTGTGAGAGTTTGGATTGGAACTAAGATTCTTCCGACTGTGCTCTATAATTTTTTTTTTTAACTGAGCCATCCTGCCACCTGTTGGCAGCTCAGTGGCAGCTCAGCTCGGGCTGGACTCGAACCGCTGTTGCTCAGAGCTCAAACTCTTGAGCGAGCTCTTAACCCACTGAGCCACTCGGCTGGCCCTATGCTCTATAATCTTAGTGTTTAGGTGTATTACTCAAAGGTGAGAAGAAGGAATTACGTGGTGTTGATTGTCCGGAAGCGATCCCGGGGAACAAAAGCACCTAGCCATTCCCTCTGTCTATAAAGAGTGTCCTTATAGAAGAGATTGGAATGTGAGGAGTCTGTTACCAGTCTGAGAGACACTGAATAGTAAAGAGATTGGTTGAAAGAATGAATTTTGTAGATAGAAGGAGGAATCTGACCCTAATGGATTCAAAGTCTATGCAGGGCTAATTTTTAACACTGTTGGCATGACCTACAGCAGAGGAGAGAGTAGTGAGAGTTAGGTGTCAGTCAAACAGCAGTGAGTGTCCTGGGAGTTGTCTCGATGGCACTTGGCTCCCCTGCCCCCAGCATCTCAGGGAACAGATGCACGTAATGTGGATAAGGGAAGCTGTGTTCTGGGGATCTGGGAGGCCCATGTGAGGGACTCTAACGAGAGGTGCTCTTACGGTTCTCAGGGAAGTCACCATGGGGGACAATGTGAAGTTCACTTCAGAGCCATGAACTTCCACTCTGTCCAAGGAGCTCAATCCCGATATTTCTGAGGAGATTCGTGAGAAGATGACAGGTTAAGGTCACTGCCAGTTTCAAAGGTCATTCACAGATTGCAGAGGTTCCATGGAAGTCAGGTTCAGCACCCCTAATACAGAGCTTAAATCGGCATATGAGTAGCTTGTGGTAGACATTGGCACAGAGGTCAATTTATTTTTACCCAGGTTATTAGTTTCTTCCATGCTCTACTAACTTTCTTGGCAAAATTTAATTTTGGAAAGCTAATGGCAGTGCTATTCCCCAGACTCCAAGGAACACCTTTATCACCCTCCACTTCCAGTCAGCCATTCTTGTGACACTAATATATTTTGACATAAAGGGACACAGCTGAATGACTTGGCTTTCATTTCATCTCTGTGTACTTCCCCCCCCCCCGCCCCCCGCCTTTGTTCTAGTTGTCCGTTTCCATGTTATTGATTGGCCTATAAAATACCAGATGGGAGAAGATGCAGGAGAATAGTGACTCCAGCCAGGGGCGGCAGTGTTCCCCCCGAGGAAGCCAGCAGCTGGTCAGACGTGTCGAGGGAGGTTCCTGCATATGCCTTAAATGTCTTCTAATACCTGGCATTAGCAGATGCCGTGGCTTATTAGAACCTTATCCAGGAAGAGAGTCTTCAGAATAATAATTATATCGATAATGGCTCATATCTGTTGAGCGCTTAAAATGCACCAGACATTTTTCTAAGCACATCACCTGTAGTGACTCATTTAATTCTTATAATATCCCTGTGAGGTGAATACTGTTATTATCCCTTTACCCAAGAGGACACTGAAGCACAGAGTTTCCTGATTCACCAGTAAGTGGAAGAACATGACTTTGAATCTAGGCAATTTGACTTGGAGGCTGAGCTGCCTCCCGTAGCTACTGTTTACACCGGAGTCCGGAGTAATTCAAAGGGGCTCTCTATCAGGGACTCTCTGATTGAATTGCCCTGAAACTTGCTGGTGGGCCTCATCTGGAGCAACATTTGGCAGCGGGCCAAACACGAGGCACCCTCCTCGGAAAACCGGGTTTCGGCAAGCTGTTGCTGGTGTTGGCAGAGCATGGGAGCTGAGAGCAAGGTAGTGGGTTTGTAGGGAGGTAGATGGGAGAGAGTGACAAGGGCTAGTGAAGGTCTCCAGTTTCTTCTGTCTTGTGGAGCTGGCTCTTCTGGAGATGAAGTGAGATAATCTGCGAATTCATTTGGGATCTGAAAAGTTCCGTGCAAATGACAGTTCCTGTTGTACGTCCACGATGAGCCTCCTGTAAGGCAGGTGGGAGGCCGAGGCCGTGGTTCAGGAGGCAACAGTGTGTGGCTGGCATTCGTGGGCTCACGTGAGAAGCTGGGAGGTAGAAGAGTGCGGACAGGGAGCAGGCTCTGATGAACTTGAGAAAGGGGGTGCACACGGGTTAGCCGATGGGGAGCTCCCTGGAGGAGGGGTATAGGCTAGTCTGCAGTCGTTCTCTGAGTCCCATTTCCCACTGTACCCCCACTGCTGGAACTGGGTTTTACACTCAATACCTCCAGCCACTGGAGAAGACCAGAGCTCGCTGCTGGTGGATCTACCCTTATCTCAATTATCGTTTCTCCCTGTGTCTTCCTCAGTCTCCCATTGCAGAGTATGATAGGCCACCACATTCTAGGATTCCTACTATCCTTGCAAGAAAGTACTTGCTAGTTAAAATCAAGGCCCTTGGGGTGAACTTGAAAATAAAACCACCAGGCCACTCTTAATTTCTTGATAAGCATTTGGTACGAACGTTGTCTGGTCACTCTGTTCATCACTGAATTCTTTCCTGTCTAGTCACGTCTAGTACCTACCACTCTGCTATAATTCCTAGTTTTATTCTTGTCCTGAGTTATCATTTATTTACACATTGACTTACTTTTAAAATAATTACATTATTTTTCTAAAAATGATGAAACCCAGTGCAAAAGAATCCCCAGCTCCAATCACGTGCAGATGGCCACTTGGCACCAGCTTGTTGAACATGCTCTCTAGACATTTCTCTACACCTACAAAGTCCAAGGTGCCACAGCTTACATGAAGGAGATGCTGCCATATTTAATTTTCCATGACCTTTTTCACTTAACAGTGTGTTATCGTCAGACTTCCCTCTAAATAAATGTAGATCTACATACTCATTTGTAAGATTTGACCTGCGTGCTCTTGTTTGAATGTACCGCAGTTTACTTAACCATCCCCCTGTTGATTGTTTATTGATAAAGAAAAAGTCTGAGCACCACCTAGAGACTTTTCTGAGTGATCCGGCTCTCTAAGCCAGGCTCTGTGGCTTTGCCATCAAACTTACGGGATTCTTGGCATTGTATAATATGAGGAGCATGAAACTGGTGAATGAAGAGTCCATGACTGCTCCCAGCTCTGCCTCTTAGTAACTATGTGACCACACAATCACTTATCTTACTGAACCTCAGTTTCCCTGTCTGTAAATGATGGTGTGGGTATGTGTGATATTTAAGGCCTGTCCTACTAATTTAGAAATATGATGTCAAGCCATACCTACCTTCACAACTCAAATACGCATGTCAGCTTTATTTAGTGATGCTGGTCAGTGTCCAATACAAAGTAGACACTCGGCAAACACACTTCAACTGAATCTGGCTTCTCAACTTTCCCTCAGAAACATCCATCTGATGGTTTTGTACTGGCTTAGTTTTTAATCCAGTAAACCTTAGATATTTTTATCTGTCTACCATCTCTCTTTAGAACTTGTGCTTTTACACCTAAATTTGTGTGTGTGTGTGTATTCGTGTGTGGGGGGGGAGCTATGTATGGATCTAAAGTTGGATGTTAAGTGTTTTGGGGGGAGTGAGTAGAGTGGGAGTCTATATAGAGGAAGTTACTATACTTTGCCCTAAAATGAGGTTTTAGATAAGAGAAATAGATTAAATTATTTTTTCTCTCCCTCTTGAGTTGCAGTGAAATTAAATGTGTGTGTGTGTGTGTGTGTGTGTGTGTGTGTGTTTGAGGTAGGAGTAGCAGTATTCTGACACTATTTTAAAAGTATCACTCCTTCCATCCTTTCCTTCCTTCCCTCTGTCCCTCCCTCCCTTCCTTTTTTCTTTCTTTTTCCCTCTTCCTTCCTTCCTTTATTGAAATGAATTGAGGAGTAATGCTATTCTTCCTACTTTACTCAGTGGTGACTTTTATCCCATAATATAAGAAAGGAGAAGCAATCCTCTATTTGAGAAAATTCTCTGAACCAATGAGACTTAACTATAAGACAATATTAAGGACAGGTGGGGATTGTGTTATATTACTATATTGAAGAAATGTATTGATCTAAGTGGTGATGATGAAAATTAAATTGTGTTACTCAACTAATGCCCATAATTAAACTACTTTGAAAATCTTAGTTAAGAACACCAAAGGAAATCCAGGTAAAGATGTTGCAAAGATGAACAGGCCGCTTCAGAAAGTTTGGTGCTACTCCTTTCGTGATTAAACATTCTGAACAAACTAGGTTGGATTGAATTCTTTTAAAATGAATTACATACTTCATTCCTTTCCCAAAGAAAGTACATTGTACATGTTAATTTTTTTCTTTCATTGTAGGGTGCTCAGAGGCACCATCACAGGCAGTGTTTATTGCAACATGTTGTGACTGAGAAGTGCTCTCAGAGACTGTTAGGATGTACAGAGCTATTTCGATCTCAGTCCTCTGCTTTCTGGATTCCTGGTCTGCCTTTCATAGTCTTTCTGTCTCTTCTGAGGGTCAGGCTGCCATGTTCGGCTGTTGTGGCATATTTGCCGAGAGCAGTTCTTCACAGCTCTGGGCCACTTCTCACTTGCTCTGATGTGCTGCATGTAAGTTATGGAAGTAAACATCTAATGGTATTAGAACTTTTAATAAGTTAATAGAGAAGTTAATATGGTCTCCAGAAGCTTTTTCTGCTTATTTCCATGAACTTACCTAAATTCCAGAAACTAGAGGTTTCTGGAGACGTGTTCTCCAAATAATCGCTGTAGTCTGGTAAAGAACCCAGAATTCTGGTTCGAACGTGAACTTTTCCTTCTGAGTGTGAAGAGGAGATGTCACCTTTACTCCCTCCAGGGGCACGGGACTCTCAATTCCACTCTGTCATTTACGTCTGACTGTGGTTCTTGTTTTGCAGTCCCCAGTCTGTCCCAGACCGCCTGAGGATCCGGGTGAATAAAATCAGCTTGCAGGACTACGAAGGATTCCACTATGACAAAGAGAAGCTCCGGGAAGCCTGTAAGTTGCAAGCGCCTCACTGATTCCGTGTGACCAGCCTTTGGTCAACTTCTTCATCCTCCTTGGTTTGATGGTTAGATTCATCTTGTGTCTGAGAACCATGGTTAGAGAGGTGAAGGGAAGGGCAGCAACTCGGGAACCCCAAGTAATGTTATGTGGGCTGAAGAAAATGGAACTGGAAGGGAAAGCAGAGAACAAAAGTTATTCTGCTCAAGCTGCCAAATTAGCATCTTTTGGTTTATTAACCACATTGGTCTCAGGTGTACCTAAAACGAGAAAGCAGAAAGTTGGTGACACTGCGTGGTATAGTAACATCTAGAAAACTTTTGAGACAGCATAAATGTCTTCCTGGAGCCGGCACTACCGAACACTTCATGCAGCTGTGACAAAGTTATCCATGAAGACATGTCAAATACTTCATGCTATTATGTGTTTGTCTGATGTCAAAGAAAGGCCCACAGAATACTCAGGGTCATGATAAATTGATTCATTGATGATGAGTGCCATTGTTTCTGAAATCTTAAATTGACTCAACATATGAACTACTTATCAATGTTCATATTTTCCAGATACTTCTTTACGTATAGAACTAATTTTCAGTTTACTCCGTCATTCAGTATTTATTGGACACTTTTTACATTCCAGTCACTATTTCAGCTCTTTGTCTATATCATCATAGATGAGATAGCTGGGTAAAGGAGGCCAGAAAAGGTTAAGACCACAGGTGTGTTAGATATTAGGGTCCTGGGCTCCTTCATAATTGTGGGGGCCAATAGTCACATGTAATAAAGTCAGAAGATCAGGTCCAGTGCCCAAGGGCACAGGCAGTGATGCCAATAGAAAGACGTTTCATACAGAACCAGAGACTGATGCACTAAAACTCCAAACTGGCTCCAAGTGTGGACGTGCCTGGAGTTGTAGAAGATGCAAAGAGATAAAAACTGGCAGGAATGGAGCAGGGGATGCGTTCCTGGGACAATGACTTCCAAGCTGTGATTCCTGGACCTATAATCTGGAGTTGGGTTTAGTGGATGGAAACCCTGAAATTTGGGGACACTGTTGGGGCTGTGTATGGGGACCTTCGGGTGTGAAGGGGGCCGTGAGCAAAGATACATTTCCGTGGTAGCCCAGTCCCTGAATCTACCAGGGAATTCTGCATGAAATCACTGCTTCCTCAACTCTCTGCTGCTTCAGCTGCCTCACCCTCTTGGTTTCTTTCCTTAAACATCAATACCCTTCAGTTTCTCCCTAGCCTGATCACTTTGTCCTTCACTGTCATTTCTTTTTTTAAAAAAAAAATTGGGGAGTTGGGGGAGGGGAACAGTGTTAGGGAATTGGGGAGGGAAACCAGCCAAGTTGTTGTTCTTCAGTCTTCATTATGGAGGGCACCAGTCGCCATCTGGCTGCCTGTTGGCAGCTCATGGCCTCTAAGCTCAAGTTGCTGTGTTCAGTCTTAGTTGCGGGTGGGCATAGCCACCATCCCATGCGGGAGTCGAACCAGCAGCCTTGTTGTTAAGCGTGCATGCTCTATCCACTGAGCCATCTGAGTGGGAGCTCAGCTCAAGGTGCTGAGTTCAGTCTTAGTTGCAGGTAGGCATAGCCCACCATCGAACAGGCAATCTTGTTGTTACACCAGCTGAGCCATTCTGCCACCTATTGGCAGGTCAGTGGCAGCTCAGCTCAGGTGCAGAATCACTGGCCCATGTGGGAATCGAACCAGCGGCCCTGTTGCTCAGAGCTTGTGCTCTTAAGCTAACTCTTAACCAACTGAGCCACTTGGCCGGCCCCACTCTCATTTCTGTTAGTAGGAAAATTTGAGGTAGAGGAGGAGCTTTTTGCAGAAAACCTCTGCTCTTTCCCCTTCCATAAATGACAGGTTATATTTTCTAATGTAAATGGGATTATAAGTGACAGACTAGCACAAAATCTAATTTAACCCATAACGTGATGGACAGATATGTTTGCAATGAGAGGTGTAGCTTTGATGTGAATGAAACTGACTTTTAGAGGTTACTAATTATAAAGAATAGTATTTTATGTTATTTCTCATTTTAAACTTCTAAACAAATAGCTTACAATATTTGAAAGCTAAAAAAAAGAGAATGGATCTCATGTTAGTAATATTTTTAGCCTATCATCAACTCTGAAGCAAGTCAGTTGGGAGTGGAGAAGCATTTGGAATTTTTGGCTGAAGTGGGATTTGAGGCTTATCTGTAGATTTCAATGATCTGTTTTATCTCTCCTGTGCATTATCTGTCCACCATTGCCAGATGTAGTTGTGTTTTGAGTTTTTACAAGAAGATGACATTTCCTGGCAGGTGCTTTACTCATCACATCTTACGTGATAAAACGTCTATGTGAGGAAACTTCCCATCTCAAATTGGGGAAGGTGACTTGGTATAAATATAAACACAATATTCAACAGTGTCTTTGAGACCCAGAAGAACAAAGAAACACTCAAGGAGGGACGCAAGGAGTTCTATCATTCTAAAGGTTTGGGTTTGAAGAAAACATATTAATTAGAAGTAAAGGTGGCGAACACAGTCATTCTACTTTTAATATATGGTGATCAGGTTTCTTTTTTTTTGTTAAAGTTTATTGGGGTCACAATGGTTAGTAAAGTCACATAGGTTTCAAGTGTACAATTCTGTAATATATCATCTATACATCACATTGTGTGTTCACCACCCAGAGTCAGTTCTCCTTCCATCACCATATATTTGATCCTGTTTACCCTCATCTACCAACCCTCCCCGCTGACCCTCTCTGTGGTAACTACTAAACTATTGTCTGTGTCTATGTGTTTTTCTTTCTTTGTTTGTTTGTCTTGTTCTTTTGCTGTTTTCAGTTTTATATCCCACATATCACTGAAATCATGTGGTTCTCAACTTTTTCTGACTGACTTATCTCGCTTAGCATGATAATCTCAAGATCCATCTATGTTGTCGCAAATGGCACTATTTCATCTTTTCTTATGGCAGAATAGTGTTCCATTGTGTATATATACACATTGGTGGTGATGTTGCTAAGCTGTAGCTGCTCAGGAAAGTTTGTCCTTGGGGTTATTATTTGTTTCTTACTCACCCTCAGTCTTTCATGCAGCTCCATCGTGCAGCTGACCGCAGATTCACGGGAAAGCTGGTAGAGCTCACATTGAGTCTAAACGCAAAAACCAGTTCAAGTCCATACAAGACATACACGCCAAAAATTAGATATGTGATTTCAGAAGCACTAGCTCAATGAAATACATAGAATCCATCTAGATAAAAGGAATTCTAGGCATGCACTCTGACCGGCATCCCAGAAGAACAAAGGGAGTGAATTCTCTTAGGTCATTTATTTGTTGTCAACATTCAAAATGCAAACTAGAGCAGTACTGCGTTGCTGGGTTTAAAAAATTCGTTCCGTTTCTTGGTAATACACCACGTGACTCATCTGGGCAGCACAGGCTGCTTGCCACCACTGTAATAGAATCTTGCTCCTGTGGCTGGATCGTTATTCGTATGAGATTACAAATCGAATGTTGGTTGTGTAACAAAGCCTTGCTTCTGTCCGTAAGGCCCTTGGTAATTACAGGATGACAGCCCTTTTAATTGCCCTGCTTATTTTAGTGTAGGAAAAGATGACTGGGCTATTTCAACTACTTTGCCTCCCCCTTTCATTTAGCCCCAGCTCACCTGGGGGGTGGGCATTCCCCCGAAAATAATAGTACAGAAAGGGGTAGTCTTTGCCAGTCCCTCCCTCAGCGCCTGCTGGTATATTTCAGACTTATGAAAGGATTTAGAGTCTTATTCACTGGATTTATGAATTATTAACCCTCAAGATAATGGTTACGATGTCCAAAGGAGGAACGTCTATTCAACATAAGAGGTAGAAAATGAAAAGAAAGTGACCATGTTTAGGAAATTCTTAAAGGAAGTGTATAATAATGACAGCAGCAACTTACTCTTATAACCTGAATGAAGTACATAAACGTGCCCATAATTAAGCATGTAATCATATGGTGGTTGAGGCCCAAGATGGGCTGCCCCCAAATATCCCACAGTGGCATATTGATTATCTTGAATTCAAGTTACTTCAGGAATTATCAGAGCAAGAAAAACACTGACCTCTCTGTACCCCTCAAAACAGGAGCTAAATCGCCCAGGTGAGAGGTACCCTCCCTGCACCTGGAGGCGGAGAATTCCCTTATCATTAGAATTAAGGAACACAGAGCCAAAGAGTCTGTATAAACAAACCTTACTTCCTCTTTATTAATTTACTGCCCAAACTTTGTGTGGATTCTTCTCTAATGAACCCCCCTGGATCTTGCTTCGATGCCTTTCTAATGACACTAACTTATTTTTTTTTGTCCTGTCAATTCCTTCACAAATGTATTGTTTCTTTGTCTAAAAAGTATAAATAGGTATCTGATTGAATCGTTTCCTTGAGCCTCATTTTATGAGCTGTGCATCACATGACCACCCATGCACATGCATTACATTGGATTTTCTCCTGTTACTCTAGCCTTGTGTTAATTTTGTTATTTTATTGTTAGTCTGGCTGTAAGAATTGAAGGGTAGGGGGGTGGGAATTGTTCCCTTTCCCTGACATAGTCTAGGCAAAGGGTAATCCATTTTGAAAATCTTGTTATAGTTCTAACTTGAAGATAGGTTCAGTGATGATTGACAAATTTTTTATCTAGAATAGCTTGATACCGGCCACAGTTTAACTCTATCCCATGTAAGCTGGCTTAAGTTTACTTCTAGCATTAGCTTATGATAATGCATACAAGTCGAGGGCTTAAAACAAAAAGCAAAAACCAGTTTAGAACTCATTAAAAACGGATGGAGCCTATAAAATAGAAGGGAATTAACATTTGTCGTATAACAAATACAGCATTCACCAACCCTTTTACATACATTAGCTCAGTATAATGGGTATTACCTGGGTATTTATGTCTATATAGTGTATACTGTATAATATCTCAGTATGTTATTTTCTGGTAAAGACGAATGATA